ATCACCCCAACCCTAACATGGGCTCTGGCAGGAGCAGTCCTTCAAAACCCTGTCCAAGGGGTTTCCTCATGATTTCAAGTTCATTACAGTTTCAGCTCAGATCAAGCACAGTGTCTTCCCTAAGGATTGGAGCCCTCCATAGACCTGTCCATTTGCACGAACAGGAAGAAGGCCCTGAGTCTGTTTAAAACCAGGCTATTTACCCAAAAATCCTTTATCTGTTGGTTCCTGGAGAATTCAGTTTGAACTATTATATACAAACCTCTCCAGGAGGTGGCTTCAAAGGGCTAATAATGGAAGGAATTACATTAGCATCCCTCTGCTCTTAGAGAAGTTACATGTGATTCTATAATAAATACATACACAACTGCATTTTTTATACAATTGACCCCAAAGGTACTAATTCTAATTCAGTAAGGTTCAAATTAATTCAGTAAAGTTTATCTTAATTCCATAAGGTTTGTTCTGGATATTGCAGGATATTGTCAGTTTGTCACACCCTCTATCTGTAACAAATACTTAATGGTAATCAAGAATTGAATTGGTCCAAAATCCAGAGCTTGCTATATCAGTGCCAAAAATGCATTGCTACTCTGGACAACTGACACCTTTAGATCTTTTATGTTACGTGTCTTGTAAATGGAGCTCCAATCCTATACAGTAGTGTTTCTCAACCTGGGGATCGTGGGATGGGTTTAGGGAGGTTGCAAGCAGGGACAGCATTACGGGATAGGAAGTAGGGCAACTACTTGGAGTCCAACACCACAGGGGGCCCTGGGAAGTGAATGTAAGTGTTTCAGCCGTGCGTCCTGCAGGGGTGCTGAAGCCCTCTGGCCCAAGCTGAAGGTAGGGGGTCGCAAGTTTTTCTAGTGGGGGGATGGTGTCATGTTTTGTCTTAAGTCCAAAGGGGGTCGCCATCTCAAAAAGGTTGAAAAACACAGCATTTCCAGACAGGTTGGACGGGGCTGCAAGAAATTGGACGTTAAAATCAGGTTGATAACTATTTCATCTTTTTCTGTCACTCTGCTCCAATGTGACTGTTTTTTAAAATTTTCAATAATTAACATTTATATAAAAATGCTTTACAATATGGTATGTATATATATATCGACACATATTTCAAAATGAGTAATATATAAATTAGTACTCTTTGTGCTTTCAGTTGTTATGGTCTTGGGAAGGTAAAGAAAACAGTGCCAATGAAGGAAGATGTACATAGTTGGAGTATCCTTAAAATAGGTGTAATTCATTTTCTTTTCAGGTAGCTTTCCTTAACTTTAAACTTCACGGCCTTTCCACATAAATTTTCTCTTGTTTGCACAAATATTTGACTGCTCATTTAAAAACTCATTAGAAACTCTAAAAACCATATGACAGACCTAAACCCAGTGTAAAGCAAGTGAATCTCTGCTTATATATTATAATTGAAAATTCTACCACATGTCAAATTACAGATCAGAAAACCATTTGATTTTAAAGTTATAAAAAGAAGATAATTACACATTTTAAACCTATTTTTGCATGATTAACAACGTAATGGTAACATCTGTTGAATATATGTAAATTCTTGAGATAGTGGCATAAATAGGCAAACTCCAGTACATTCAAAGTTTAGGCCAACACTGTAATCCTTATATAATTATGTCCTTTTCTCCCCTTTCCCACATTGTCATGATTTAAAGACAATCTGTCAACTTTTCTGTAACATTTTCTGAATTCTGAATTTTTATTTGTTGTTCATTAATCAACTTCCTCATATTTTTCCTATGTTGTTTTGCACAATATGCAGATCTCCCCCCCCCACACACACACACCTGCACCCAACTTGCGTTAGGTGGCTCTGGTGAGATGGTGACAGACAGGATCACTAGCTGGCCTGAGGAAAACCACAAGTAGTATATAACATTATTGGTGTATGGTATAAAATTCAGGATTTGCACAATCGGGAAGAAGCCAGATGTATAGGGCCCTACCAAATTCACAGCCATGAAAAATGCGTCACTGACCATGAAATCTGATACATCTCCAACCCCCCCCCCCCCACCCGAAGTCTGGTCTTCTGTGTGCTTTTACCCTATACTGTACAGATTTAATAGAATCATAGAATATCTGGGTTGGAAGGGACCTCAGGAGGTTATCTAGTCTAATCTATCAAGTTGATTGCTGGTTTTGCTCAGTCTGAATGAGAACTGAGCCCTGTGTATAGGGATGGAATATTTTTCATTCACTGGAACATCCCATAGACTGTCATTTCATGGTACACAAACGTGAAGCTAAATCTCTTTATGGGAGCACTTGAGTGTAATATAAGGATTTTGGTACTATGCTTTTCAATCAAGGAGAATAGTTTCCTTGCTTACCAATAAAAAGTGTAAAATAACTTGATCCTGATGATTTACATGTCAAAATAAGCACTGAATATTAAGTTCTAGCTGCTTGCAGAATTTCTGTAGCCAGTGTTACAAAGGAGGAATCATTTATCACTTTTAACAGTTTAATTTGTGCTGCAGTCAGGATTGTTAATTTTGACTGGTTTTAAAACAAGAACTCACAAGTTCATTGGCATACACAGGATAACTGGTTACAAGTGTGTGTATATTGCCCACCCTTTTACCATAATATCTGAATAGAAGTGTGTGTGTGTGTGTGTGTGTGTGTGTGTGTAAATTACCTGCATATATCACTACATAAGCAGATGTATAATACAAGTGTGTATATACATACACAGATAAAGCATGTGTAAATGTATATGGGTACAGTTTTATCTTAATTATAAAGAGACACACATAGATATCCAGTTATATAAATTATAGAATTTCCATGTTGTGATCCGTTTCTTACAACGTGCTTCACAAAATAGTTATATAGATCAGTTCTGTGAGCGGAGCAGCTTATATCTTAATTTGGACAAAATGGAAAAATAGTTATTACATAGGGTAATTGTTCATGAATGAGATTTTCCTGAGTGCTAATATTAATTCCAGTCTTGTTTTTATGTCTTGATTAATTTAATTCTCGTCCATGATGATCATAAATAGTACCTGAGCTATCAACTAGTTTTTATATGTAAATTATTCTAGGACTGTCAAGTGATTAAAAAAAATTAATCCCAATTAATTGTGCTGTTCATACAAAAATATTTAAATAAATGTATTTATTATTTTTACATTTTCAAATATATTGATTTTAATTATAACAGAGTATACGAAGTGCTCACTTTATATTTATTTTTGATTACAAATATTTGCACTGTAAAAAACCAAAGAAATAGTATTTTTCAATTCCACAATTACAAGTACTGTAGTGCAATCTCTTTATCGTGAAAGTTGAACTTACAAATGTAGAATTATGTACAAAAGAAACTGGCATTCAAAAATAAAACAGTGTAAAACTTTAGAGCCTGTGAGTCCACTCTGTCCTACTTCTTGTTCAGCCAGTCACTCAAAAAACCCACGTTTGTTTACATTTGCAGAAGATAATGCTGCCTGCTTCTTGTTTATAATGCCACCTGAAAGTGAGACCAGGCATTTGCATGGCGCTGTTGTAGCTGGCATTGCAAAATATTTACGTGCCAGATGTGCTAAAGATTCATATATCCCTTCATGCTTCAGCCATCGTTCGAGAGGACATGTATCCATGCTAATGATGAATTCTGCTCAATAATGATCCAAAGCAGTGTGAACTGACACATGTTCATTTTCATCATCTGAGTCAGATGCTACTGGCAGAAGTTTGATTTTTTTTTTTTTTTTTTTTTTGGTGGTTTGGATTTTGTAGTTTCCACATTGGTGTGTTGCTCTTATAAGATTTCTGAAAGCATGTGCCACATCTCGTCCCTCTGAGATTTTGGAAGGCACTTCAGATTTTTAAACCTTGGGTCAAGTGTTGTATCTATCTGTAGAAATTTAACACTGGTACCCTTTTTGTATTTTGTCACGTCTGCTGTGAAAGTGTTCTTAAAATGAACAACATGTGGTGTGTCATAATCAGAGACTCCTATAACATGAAATATATGGCAGAATGTGGATAAAACAGAGCAAGAGACATACAGTTCTCCCCCAAGGAGTTCAATCGTAAATTTAACTAATGCATTATTTTTTTAATGAGCGTCATCAGCATGGAAGCATGTCCTCTGGAATAGTGGCCGAAGCACGAAGGAGCATATGAATGTTTAGCATATCTGGTACATAAATATCTTGCAATACCAGCTACAAAAGTGCCATGCAAACATCTGTTTTCACTTTCAGGTGACATCGTAGATAAGAAGTGGGCAGCATTATCTCCCATAAATGTAGACAAATTTGTTTGACTTAGCGATTGGCTGAACAAGAAGTTGGACTGAGTGGACTTGTAGGCTCTAAAGTTTTACATTGTTTTGTTTTTGAGTGCGGTTATGTAACAAAAAAAAATTCTACTTTTGTAAGTTGCGCTTTCATGATAGAGATTGCACTACAGTACTTGGATAAGGTGAAGAAAAATACTATTTCTTTTATCATTTTTACAGTGAAAATATTTATAATAAAAAATAATATAAAGTGAGCACAGTAGACTTTGTATTCTCTGTTTTAATTGAAATTAATAGATTTGAAAATGTAGAAAAACATCGACAAATATTTAATACATTTCAATTGGTATTCTGTTTAACTGTGTGATTAAAACTGCGATTAATCGTGATTAATTTTTTAAAATCTTTTTGAGTTAATTGCGTGAATTAACTGCGATTAATCAACAACCCTAATACATTCCTATGATGAGAGGACCTCCACAACAAAGATTTCTAGATACAATCTGATTTCTCCCAAAATTTGAAGGCAGTTGCTGTGGCTGAGGGGGAACCTGTAATGGTGAAATGGTATCTGATCCCGGCTGGGTTGCAGGGTAGTATTTGTATTCGCTTCTCTTTTTTTATTTGATCGATATGAGGTGTCAGTGATGAGTGTCTGATGTGTCGATACGGTATCCGGTGTGATGTTACATGGTTTGTTTTTCATTTATTATAGATCTCAAGAAAACTCTTGCAGTCTTACTGGATAATATCTTGGAGCGTATTGGCAAGCTAGAGTCCAAGGTGGAGAACCTTGTAATTAACGGCACCGGAGCAAACTCTACCAACAGTACCGCCACTGCTGCTCCCAGTTTAGGAACAGTTGAAAAGCTCAACGTAGCAGGTAGGTGTGAAAACTGTTTAGAATTTCAACTCTATTTTATTGTGTAAAGACACAGTAATACTGATACCCTTTAGTTGAAAGCACGACGTTTTATGAGCTCTTCAGAAATAAGATGGCAAAACTGATTAATTGCTTTTCATTTGGGGAAACCAAAAGTAAAAACCGAACCTGTGTCATAAAAAGATATGAGCGTGTGGTCTCCTTCTAGTGGAGTGGAAAATTAGCTGCTATGCAGGCTTCACGCTACATAACATGTTTGTCAGCCTCTGCTGAAAGAGGCTTATGAATAGGGAATGGACTAGTTTGAGTGCAGTGATGCAGGCAAGGACCGAAGTATAATAGCAGAACTGGAATGGGGGTCTTGAAAGCCATATTGTTGGATTTGAAACTGTTTTAATCCCTCATGCCAATTTAACACATCTTCACAGTATATAGGGACAGGTTTGGGAGAGGAAGAAGCACATTAACATTTTGTCACTATCTCAAAAAGTTTGATTACTTGGTTTTGTGTAAATCGGTCCTTGTGCATTTTGTCTGTCCTTTAACAGATTTTAATGGTGCAGCCAATACCTATCCAAATAAGCAATAAAGCAGACATTTTAATAACTTATAATTACACCACAACCTCAGCATCAACCAAGATGTAAGACTCTCCTTCCCTGTTATGTCCAGTAGTTCCTGTGATTTGACAAGGAAATCACATACTGCGCAATCCTGTTTGTTAGAATAGTCTTTAGTTTAAATGTGTCATAGTTTGAATAAACTGTGGTTTGAAAAGTTCTCTTACTAATTTTATTTGTGTTGGATTGACATTTTTGTTGACATTATTGCCTATCAGTGTATTTAAGGCATGTAGTCCAGTGGCAGCAGTATGTCTCTGGGACCTGTGTATCCACATAGGGCTTTACTCTTTCAGCAGTCCTGCACTAAATTCTGCACGCACTTGACCCACCAGCCAGAGATTGCTATCCCCCATTCCCTGTCTGCCTCTGGTGCTGGTGGGCCCAAGGAGATAGCGAGTGCTCTTGTTCGTTTGGAAGTTAGTGCTTCAGCCCCACAACCAGGTTTTCCAGTCCAGGGAGGGCATCATAGCCAGACTGTGCATAGCCGAAAGAACGTACGAACGGCCATACTGGGTCAGACCAAAGATCCATCTAGCCCAGTATCCTGTCTTCTGGCAGTGGCTAGTGCCAAGTGTTCCAGAACAGTTAATCAAGTGATCCATCCTGTCGCCCATTTCCAAAGCTGGTGAGTGAGGGGCAGGGGTTGGGCAGGAATTTCAGCAGCCTGAGGCCTTGTTTACAGCCGGGTTTTGTACCAGTATAATATTTCAGATAGGCGTGTGATTTTTGTACCCAAATAAAATGGTACAACCCTTCGTATGGATGCAGTGGTATCAGTATAACGTTGCCTTATATTGGTGTAGTTTATTCTCCTTCCCTATGAAGACACCTTTATAGTAATATAACTGTGTCCACACTAGGCGTTGTACCGCTTTAATTAAGCCAGTATAGTTAAAGGGCAGGTCTTCAGTACCCGCCGGATCGGCAGGTAGTGATGGATCTATCCGGGATCGACTTACCGTGTCTCGTCTAGAAGCGATAAATTGTTCCCCAAACATCCTCCCTGTTGATTCCGGAACTCCAGATTGCGAGAGGCAGAAGCGGAGTTGATGGGGGAGTGGCAGCTGTCGACTCGCTGCCGTCCTCACGGCCAGGTAAGTCGACCGAAGATACGCTGACTTCAGCTATGCTATTCGCGTAGCTGAAGTTGCATATCTTAGGTCGAACCCCTACCCCCAGTGTAGACCAGGGCTAAGCAATACAACCTTTATGTGTAACCAAAGCCTGAACTGGGCTGCAGGCAAAGAGGGAGGGAGTGGTTGTGGGTATGCAGAGAATGAGTGCTCAGGTACTATGGTAATGTGGGCCATATAATACCTGGATAGATAATTGGGAAAGAAGAACCTAATCATGGATGGAGAAGGAGTTGAGTGGGACCCTGCTCATATTATTTGTGTAGTTCCTTGGGAAATTTCACCAGCATATAATGATGGCTGTTTAAGCATGACCCTATAACCTTGGGTGCAGTTAAATAATTTTAACCCTCAGGACCAAGTGAAGTTTTCTGACCAGCTTTGATATGCTGTCTAATGTAAATCAGTAATGCTCAATAGTATCAGTTTCTTTCCTGTTATGAAATTGAATTCACAATTAAAAATAAGATACTATAACAAGGCACTTTTAGGAGAATGTGGCACTTCCCAGGTTGTTAAATTGTAATGGCTGTCACTTGAAACATACTGCCATTACTCAGTAACACCCTGCCTCTGTCTTACTGCTGAAGATAACCGTGTATAGCATGGCAGGAATAATAGTGCTACAGTACCATTTTTATTATTCTTTTGGGGCATTTACTTTTACATTATCAATTTCTAGATTACTTAACCTTACCTTTTACTAGGTGCATGAATCAGAGGTTAAGATGTACGCTGCTGAAATTACACTTTTCTGACTTAATTGTTGTTGCTCTGCTTTTGGAAGAAAAAACTGAAATAATGAAGACAAATCACCACTCAAGATTGTATTCCTTAAAAGACCCTTACAGTCTGACCGATTTTCACAGTCCACTTGTTTTTATATTGCCTACTTAGGATGTTTATTATTTTACTCAAGCAGGGCTCTAAGCACCTTGGTGAGAGAAGATTTATTCACATAATTCCTTTTTTCCCCCTCATAACATATTCCTAGAAGCAAGAAAATAGTTTCCTATGGAGTTCCTTTGGGTAACTGGCAAATAGGAACACTGTCTTAAGTTTCTAATGAACTTTGAACTGTTCTTTTCCTTGTTTGTGCATCCGCATTTCCAATGCAAGAAATGACTAACAAATTCTCACCAAGGCAGTATCAAATACAGCATCCTGCTTGGACAGGAGTCTCATATGGCTTTCAGTTCTAACATTAGTTAAAGGCTTGTGCAAAGGTAGTGGCGGAATTTCACAATTGCCATAAAGAGCCTTCTCTTTTAAATTTTAATTCAATACCAGCCATAGATTTTTAAAGCCAGGGAGGACCATAACGATCATCTAATCTGGCCACCTACCTAACATGGGCCATAAAGATTAACTCAGCAATTCCTACAGTGGATGGAGTTATTCTGCCCATTTTCTTCTTGGTTTTGACCCTTTCACAGTTCTAGCTATCTGTAGGCTCAATTTAAAATATTTGGATATTTATCATTCTATGCTAGCTTTCACAAGTGCTTCATACACTGTATTTGTACAGCTGTTACTAGGGTGAACTTGTTGTATGGCAAAGAAAAAGACTTCAGTCTCCTTTGGGCTTTCAGCTTTCATTGTCAGTAAATTACCTTTTTAAATTTAAAAGTCTGGGCTAAATTCTACAGTCTTCAGTAGGAACGGGGGGTGGGGGGGGAGCTTTTGTTTAAGGGCCAAATAATTTGTCCTTCTGGTACCTCCGTGGGTACTTCTGAATTCTCAGCTACCCTCAGGGCAGTACAGAACAGGTGAGTGGAATAAGGTTGTTTGAGACTAATGGCATATCCACATGTACAGCACTGCAGCTAAAGAGATGCAACCGCTCTATGTGGAGACGCTCTATGCCGGCGGGACGGAGTTCTCCCGTCAGCATAATAAAACCACCTCTGCAAATGGCAGAAGCTGTGTCAGTGGGAGAAGCTCTCCCACCAACATAGCACTGTGCACATAAGTGTCTATGTTGGTGTAATTTATGTCCCCTGAGGGGGTGGTTTTATTCACACCCCGAGTGACATAAGTTACATAATGGCAAAGGCTAAGTCTACATTACAGCCCATGTCGGCATATCTTAAGTTGCCCAGGGGTATGAATGAACCACCTCCTGAGTGACATAAATTACACCAACATAAGCACTTGTGTGCACAGCACTATGTCAGCGGGAGAACTTGTCCAGCCCACATACCTTCTGCCATTCACAGAGGTGATTTTATTAGGCTGATGGGAGAGCTCTCTCCTGCCGGCATAGAGCGTCTTCACCAGATGTGCTGCAGCGGCTCAGCTGAATTGGTACAGTTGTGCTGCTGCAGGACTGTACATGTAGACATGCCTTTAATCTCATGTTCTTGCATGTTAAGAGGCCTGTGGCCAGCCATTTCAAGCTAGAAGTTGGTTGGGTCGAATGTGAATGATTTGGTTTCTTATTTTTTTTTTTTTAAACCAGAAATACTAGTCCTTCCAGAAGGCAGTTTCCTAGCTGTAGTGAAGTTAAGAAGCCATCCAAATGTAGAACAGCACCCTGATAAAATAAAGTTGTTTTTTGTTGGGAAAAAGGTTTATCCTCTGTTAAGCAAACATCATGATTACAGTATCAACCAGAGCTTTAATCTTATCTGTAATGTTTCAGCATCATTTGTTTTAAGTGTTGCATCTGATTTTAGAGAAATGGGTAAACTTGAAAGTTGTCGATATTGTTATAAAGCAAAGCATTTTGTTTCCTAGGGATTTGTTCATTTTATTATAATGTATGTGTACTAGAACTGTCAAGCGATTTAAAAAAAAAATAAATCGCGCAATTAATCGCACTGTTAAACAATAATAGAACACTTATTTAGATATTTTTGGATGTTTTCTATATTTTCAAATATATTGATTTCAATTACAACACAGAATACAAAGTGTACAGTGCTCACTTTATATTTATTTTTTATTACAAATATTTGCACTTTAAAACACAAAAAAAAAATTCAGTTCACCTAATAAAAGTACTGTAGTGCAATCTCTTTATAATGAAGTTGAACTTAGAAATGTAGAATTATGTAAAAAAAAAAAAACTGCATTCAAAAATAAAACAATGTAAAACTTTAGAACCTATAAGTCCACTGAGTCCTACTTCAGCCAATCACTCGGACAAACAAGTTTGGTTACAATTTGCAGGATATAATGCTGCCCACGTCTCATTCACAATGTCACCTGAAACTGCGTCCATGTTGCTGACGAGTTCTGC